ATTTTTATAAATAGTTGAGCTCTAAATGGTTTTTAATTTTGAAATTTTCGAAACTCTTAATTCCTACTATGGAGAAATAATAATAATTCAATATTAATTAAAAAAAATTATCGATATTTACCTAATGATTTTACAATTTATTATAGATTTTCACAATTAATCTCGTGTATTTTAATCATTTTTAGAATAAATCAGAATATTTTTAGAATAGTTTTTTTCCAAGGTCCTAGAAAAAATAGTCAAAATTCAATTTGGAAATCAGAGAAAAACGAGATATTGAATAAATTGTTATCAAAAACCTGATTCATCGTTATATATTTTTCTAAGTTTTGAATGTATTTTCTTTACAAAATTTCTTCTCTTATTTAATGAATATAATTAATGTAAATTTTTGTGTTATCAACTCAAAGTAATCGTATTTAAATTTAATTCAAGGTGAATTTTTTTAATAATAAATGTTCACAGAACATGTTTTATATATTTAAATAAGATATTTTTCGAAATTTAATAACAGGTATAGTTTATTTAGTTTGTGAGGTTTAAAACATTAACTTTTAAGGATTCTAAAACTATTTTAAAAAATATTAAAAAACTACTTATATCCATAATTTTCTTGATGAAATTATTTATATAATTAGAAATTTTTAATTTAAAATTATAATTTAAGTTTTAATTGTAATTCAACGTTCAAGTTTTTTAAACGTTCAAAAAATATTTCATTGATAATTTAAAGAACTATTTAAATAATATTTAACTTTTAAATTTTAATTTTGTATTTTTAATTTTTTATTATAATCTCATATCATGTAATATTTTTAGTAAAAAATAAAAGTTTACACACAGGAAAATTTTATTTAAAACAAATATAATTTATATGTGATAAATAAGAGCATAATTGTCACAGATGAGCTACTAAATTATTTATTTGTTTTCAATTGTTTTAAATACAAATATTATTCGGCACAAATAAAATTTTTATTTCAACAAAATAAAATTTATTTAATAGGTACAAATAAAATTTATTTGTTAAAAATGAAAAGTTTAGCAGGCTCGAGTCAAATATATCTTTTTTTATGGATGCAAAACTGTAAATGATTTTAATTGAAAAAAATTTATTCTGTTTTTATTCTAAAAAAAATTCAGATTTATTATCATTCGGGAAAGTATAGGAAAATAATATTTTCACATAGGGAAATTTATTTAACCCAAAAGAACTTATGCGGAGAAAAAAGAAGTGAAAAGAAAAGATAATAAGGGAAAAACAAAACCGAGATGGAAAAATAACAATAGCTTTAATATTCATTTTTTAAAAAACTAGTTTGAAAAAAAAGTTTCACAGTGTATTGAATTTAATTTTTAAATTTTCATTTTATATTTCACCATTGAATTGAGAGGAAAAGTTTGTTTGTCTGTATATATATATATATATATATAGGATGTGTTTTTCTTCTTGGTCAGTTGCTCTGATATGTTGTTGTTTTTTTATTTTCTTTTAAAAATTTTTGTTGAATCATATTTAACGTACAGGTGGGAAATTTTATTTATATAGAATCGCGTGGGAATTTATCATTTGAACGAGTTCGAGGTCGAGACTGTACTTAAAATTTTCCCTAGGGTCTTACACGTTGAATTGGATAAATAAGGACAGAAGAGAGAAGTAGTAGCAGTACTTGCTTTATGGCGTACTGCTCTTAGCCGCATTTCCCAAGTTAAATCTAGATTTGGCTTTCCCTTTCATTGCCTTCTATTCTACCTTAAGCTTTTATGGAAACTCGCAACCGAGATTCGAGATGTTATGCATAACTTCCGCTCGCTCTTATCAAAAACCATGTACTTCAAAGTTGGGCGTTAAATTTTTGGTAGACATAAAAGGTCATCAATTTTTGTCAAAAAAAAAATATTCTTTAAGTGCCTTTACTTACACTATGAAAAGTAAATTTTACTTTCAGTACACTTTTGACTACAACCGGTTATAGTAGAAACATTCTTGACCGAATTTTAGTGGTATTTTAAGTCCTAAAGTTATGACTCAACCCATTGTTTTGAATTTAAAAATAGGCTACTTATCAAATACTTTGGTTTTAAGATGTTTAATCCTCTATTTTCTGCTGCTCAAATTATTATTACCATCATTTTAATATTATAATTTATATTTATACATATTTGGTTATAATCTTCTATTTTATGCTGTTCAAATTATTATTACCATCATTTTAATATTATAATTTATATTTATACATATTTGGTTATAATCTTCTATTTTATGCTGTTCAAATTATTATTACCATCATTTTAATATTATAATTTATATTTATACATATTTGGTTATAATCTTCTATTTTTTGCTGTTCAAACTATTATTACCATAATTTTAATATTATAATTTATATTTATACATATATTTGGTTATAATCTTCTATTTTCTGCTGTTCAAATTACCCACGTATAAAAATTCCATGGAAGTACCCCCCGTAAATTCAATTATGTTCAAAAGTAATAAAATTCGTCGCAGAAATTCAATTATGTTAAAATTTTTTTAAAAATTCCCTTTAAAATTTCAATTATCTTTATGAATAATAAAATTTTTCTCCGAAATTTAATTATTTTCGCAAATTTTATTTAAATTCTTTGTAAAATTTAATTATTTTTAACAATTTGTATTACAGTTTCGTCAAAATTCAATGATTTTCAGGAATTTTAATAAAAATTTTTGCAAAATTCAATTATTTTCCTAAATAACTAAAATTTATTACAAGAATTTAATTATTTTCAAAAGAAATGGAAACATTCCCAGAAATTCAATTATGTTAAATTTTTTTTTAAAGCGTTAAAATTTCAATTATCTTTATAAATAATCAAATTTTTCTCCGAAATTCAATTATTTTCATGAATTTTCCTCAATTCAATCATTTTCAATATCTACATATTTTATAATAAAACTTTTCAAACGATTTCAAATATTTAAAAAAAAGTGTGAAAATAAAATTTAAAGCAAACATTACATTATTTTCAAAAATAATAAAATTTTTTACCGAGATTCAATTATTTTCATGAATAATAAAACTCATAATAGAATTTCAATTATTCTTAATACAATTTTAATTGAATTTCTCAAAAAATGTAATAAGTTTTGAAGATTTTATTAAAATTCGTCGAAAAAATTGAATTATTTAAAAATATGTTGATAAAATTATTGGTATGAGGATTCAATTTTGAAAAACATTTATTTATTAAATAAAAATAATTTAATTTTGAAAATGTTCCAAATTAAAATCTTTGAAAATTTAAATTTTTCAAATTTTCAACTAACAATTCTATTGAAGAATTTACGAATAATTGAAATTTAGTAAAATTGAATTATAAACAAATGAATTTGAAAATTATCAAAGAGCTTTTTAAAAAATTATTAATAATAATTGATTTAAAGAAGAATTTTAGTTAAAAACACGAAAAAGAAATTTAATTTTGGAAAAGTTACAAATTATTGCAGAAATTCAATTATTTTCAAGAGTAATAATATTTTTCGCAAAAATAAATATTGTTAAACTTCTTTTTAGGGATTCAATTATTTTCAAAAATTTTAATTAAATTCTTAGCAAAATTCAATTGTTTTCAAAAATTTCAATTTAATTCTTAGTAAAATTGAATTATTTTAAGAAATTTAAAAAAAACTCTTTACAAAATTCAATAATTTAGAAAAAAAATGTTGAAATTTTACGAAAACATTTAAGCATTATAGCATAAATTTTCAAAAATAATTAAATTTTGAATATTTTTTAAAAGAATTACATTTTTTAAAGAATTTACTCAAAATTATATTAAAAAAAATTGAAATCATGTGAAGAATTTTATTATTTATGAAAATAATTCAATGTTTGTAAAGAATTTTTATTACATTTATTAAAATAATTGAAATCCTGTGGAAAATTTTATTATTTATGAAAAGAGTTCAATTCTTGCAACAAATTTTAATTAAATTTTTTTAAATAATTGAAATCCTATAAAGAATTGTATTATTTATGAAAATAATTGATTTTTGCAACGCATTTTATTACATTTTTTGAAAAAATAATTAAATTCATTTAAGAAATTTTATTAAAATAGTAGATTTTGAAAATATTTAAATTTCAGCAAAGAATTTCATTATTTGTTAAATGTAATTGAATTCTTGCAAAAGAATTTTAAAAATAATTAAATTTTTTGAGGAATTTATTTAAAATTGTATTAAAAATAATTGAAATCTGATGGAAAATTTTATTATTTATGAAAATAATTGAATTCATGAGGAAAATTTTATTAGTTGTAAAAATAATTGAATTCTTGTGAGGATTTTATTAAAATTTTTGTAAAAAGTTTAATTTTTGTTTGAAAAATTTTATGGAAATTTAAGTTATTACAAATCATGAAGATATCAATAACTCCGAGTCTTCGACTCGGAGTGATCGATATCTTCATGTTTTGTAATATTATTCTTATAATTTGTTGAATTTCGTAAAGGTTTAAATTTGAAATTTCATGAAAATTTTAATTCCTATGGAGTAATAATAATTATTAAATATTTATTTAAAAAAGAATTGGTGTTTTGGAATAATTTTACAATTAAGGAAATTCGTAATTAAATGTATTAGAAGAGTTTTTTAAGTATCTAATCATTTTTAGAGTGAATCAGAATAATTCACTCTATTTTTTCTGTTTACTATTTTTAACTATTTTTACTTGATTAAAATATCTAATTTATAATATAATGAAGAAGGAAATAATTTTTATTTAATTCGGTTGTTTATATTGTTTTTGGATAATACAATTTTCTAGAAAGTTTTTTTCAATTTTTATAATTCTTTTGAGCAGGAAGTATTTTTAGGAAGTAAAATATATTTTATATAGAATGTAAAAAATGTAACATGAAAAAGTGATATTTCAGAAAATATTTTATGACTCATAAAATCAAAAGATACTTTAATGGAGATCTTTTTCACTAACACTTTTTCGTTTGTTGGCAGAAGAATTGGACGGACCAAACGCTGGGAGGATAAGGGACGCTTGGGTGATAGCAGTCGAAAGGTAATTAACAATTTACTTCTTCTCAAAATCGTTCTTTTAATTATTTTTTAATAAAAGGCCTACTAAATTACGGTTTCATATTTTATAATTATTTATTATTATTCTTACAAATAAACAATAGTAATAGCAAAAAAAAAATAAAGAATCATTAATCTAGAAACTCTTTTCATATTTTCTGTATTTTACTACAACTTATGTTTTAGATTCTATATTTTCATAAACTCGAAATAATTTGATTGATCCACATTTTAAGGTGCATACATTTTTCATGACCCACATTTTGCGAATTATTATTCGTATTCCTTTTGAAATTTTTCTTTTTCCTTTCTTTACTTACAATTTTTTTTTCTGAAGAAATTTTGTCCTTCCGAATAAATACGTTGACGAGAAATTTTCAGTATATTAAATTTTGATTAAAATTTAATTATTCGAGCATAGTTTTCTTGAAAGAGTAATAACACTTTTAAAATTTCTTTTCAGAGGAGCGAGAGAACGGTTGCAGAAGTTGAGTGCTTTGAGAAGAATACAACCTCGAGATATTACAATACTCTACCAACAGGTATGTAGAAAAAAAGGAGAATTTACGTTTTGTTAAAAGGAAATTTTCAACGATTTCAAAATATTTTAATTATACTTTAACTTTGTTTATAATGATTTCCACTACCCTGTGGATAATTATTTTTCTTTGCATCTTTTTTCTTTTTTGGTTTTTCTAACTTTAATGATATAATTAATTTTTTCTCACGTCCAACCGTGAAATTTGCTATAAAATTTTATTTTGTATTCGAGGAAAATATAGATTGGCATTAATTTAAATTATTTTTACATTTGTTTTAATTTTCCATTGTTAGAATTTTTTTCACACAGAATTTTCTTTTAGCTTTTTCATTTTATAAAAATTTGAAGTGTTTCTATTTAACACTATTTTCTATATTTTAAATTTATTTAATTCTTATTTAAAGTAATGTTACAATTTTCAGGAATGTCCGTAGAATTTTATTAATAATTAATTTTTCTCCATAAAAGTAATGTTTTACGTTGGTTTTTACTGGCAGAATGGAAATTTCTGCAAATATTTGAAATGTGACGTTATTGAGTATATTGGTTAAGTTTCTGGAAAAATATAATATTCAAAACAAGTTTCGCGATTTATATGGAAATAAGTTTTAGTTCGTATTGGCAATTGTTTTCGGTATGACTCTCTTAGAAAAGTTTCCAATCACGAAAGTTTTTAAAATTTTTGGAAGAGACACCTCTCCTCATATCCTTGACTGAACTGAAAGTTAAACGCAAAAAAGTTCTCTCGTCTAGCGTCGAAAGAAGATTACGAACGTCTGATAAAAGTTGACGATCGATATATTAACTATTACGAACGGGGAAAAAAATTTACTTGAATATTTTTTTTTCATAATTAATTTGTCAACTTTTCTTCTAAAGCCTTGATGGCAGCTCTTATGATTTATTGTATAACGGTTGTATAAATATAAATTGCAATATTAAAATGACAATAATAATTATTATAATTTATATTTTATACATATTTATGGTTATTATCTTCTATTTTCTGCTGTTCAAATTATTATTATTATTAAGTATTATTATTTACATTACTGTTTTTAGCTTTATTTGGTTATAATCTTCTATTTTTTGCTGTTCAATTATTGTTATTATATAAATAATAAAAATAATCTATTACAAGTTTTTCCTCCATTTGGTTATAATCCTCTATTTTCTGCTGTTCAAATTAATATTATTACACATTATTATTATTAAAAATATATTATTATTTTTTTATCATTCATAATTTAAATCTTTTCCCGACTTAAAAAGTTTTAATGTTTTTCTTTTTATTTCGTTTCAAAAACGTAACTACGAACTTGTTACCCCCACAGCACAGAAATTTTTCTAAAAATTTATTAAATATTTTCTTGCAATATTCGGCATATTTAACTGAAAATTTTAGTGAAAATTGTATAAAGATTTAAATGTCCCGATTAAATAAATGTTTAGTGTGAAAATTTCCTGAACATTTAAATTATATTTTCGCCTAATTATAATTATAATCATATAATAGTTATAATCATTGAAATGTTCAGGAAAGTTTCGCGCTAAATATTTATTTAATCGGGACATTTAAATCTTTACACAACTTTCAATAAACATTGCAATTAAATATTCCGAATATTGCAAGTAAATATTTAATAAATTTTTAGGAAAGTTTCGGTGCTGTGGGGGTAAAAAATCTTTTCACGAAACAATGTAAATAATTGACAACTTTAAGTAATCAAAGTTATAGAGAATAAAGAAAGTCGCTTTTTGGTTTTTTTTAATATAAAGTTTTAAGGGAGAAATTGTTTTTTTTTCGTCGTTTGAAGGAAAAGTTTATAAATATGATAAAGACTTTTGTTGAGTAACAAATTTTGTTCCAGAGACAAATTATGTAAGTTTTTTTTTTGAAACATTTAAAGTTTATTTATTTATTTTTCATTTTCTCTCTTTCTTTTTAGAAAAAAGTTTGTGTAGAGCTAGCTACTAGAGAGGAATATGAGATGCGCAAAGCGAGAATCGATTGAGCGTTTATGAAATGTGGAATGTAAAATAAATGAGTGAGTGGTCACCCGGATTATGTGGCCTTGGCTATATGTGCGTTTTCTAGCGTGAATTTCTGTTGGATGTGTGTTGGTCTCTCTTTCTCTCTCTCTCTCACTCTATGTTCCACAGGTTGGACCTCAGGCTTTACTTATGCAATCACCTGTTTTAACCATGAATCTGGTATTGCAATTTTATTAAGCTTTCAACTACTGCTGCAGTAGTAGTTTGATGATAAGCAAGAAAATCGATGCTTGACCTTCAATCCGCATAACTGTTAACACTTCTTTTATTTTTTGTGCGAATCTTAAAAAGTTTTGTTATTTTCACAGAAAGTTGGATATTATTTTAGTTTTGGTATTTATTTCTCCATTTTCTTAATTGGCGTAAATTAATATTTTTTTATTTAATTATCGTGAATTAACATTTTTTTCGCACAGTTCTTAATTATTGTGAATTCTCTCTAAATCCAAATTAGTTGAAAATAAGTAATTATTAGTCAAATCGTGGCTGAATTTTTACTTCAGCAATTAGTAAAAAAAATGACTAATTCTTAGTAGAAAATGATTTTTTAGAAAATTTCTTGTAAATTAGTAAATAAATGCCTACAGAAAAAATCGAATTTCACTAATTAAATTGGTTATAATCCTCTATTTTCTGCTGTTCAAATTATTATTATTATAATATTCATATATCAAAATATATATCAGTTATTTTTACCAAATACAGTTTTTCTAAGGATATCAAATTGAGGCAAAAAAACTAATCAAAAGTGTTGCGTATTTTTCAAAGTCGCGTTTATTCGAATCCATTTAATTTATAATATATAATAATAATTAAACTAATAATAACAGCGATAATAATTAATTTCTCATGCTCTAATTGCTCTCATAATTCAATTAAAATTTCAAGCTCTGTACGGTTTAATTAATAGTCGTTAATTAGAATTTTAGAGTATAAGATGAAAAAGAAGAAATTTTAAATTAGAAGGATTCCTTATTTGAAAAAGGACTTTAATTTGAAGTAATTAAAACAAAATTTCTTTTTCAGATAAGCGAAGGCGCTGCTTCGACAAGCGAAGGTGCTACCGAAAAGGATGTTTCGAACAGTCAAATTACTGTTACACTATCCGACAAGTGAGTCGTTTTTTTCTTTTTCACTTCTAATATATAGAGTAGAGTGGGGTGAAACAGCCCCATGGGGTAAAAAGGCCATTTGAGTTTTATACCAAAAATATTGAACTTTTTTTATTTTGGAATATAAAATATTTAATTTAATAATTAATTAGTTAAGTCAGTTAACACGCAACTTTTGCTTCTAGTTTGGTTGATGGTACTGTGGACTTTTTACCCGAATTTCCTATACTTGAAATAATAGAAATGTTTTTACGCGAGAATAATAACGCAGACCGATAACCTTTGAATTAACTGAAAATAACAAATTGCAGGAAGTTTATATTATTATTATAAATTTATTATACTCGACTAATATCGATTATTCTCTTCTTTAAATTAAACTTTAAACTTGATTTAACTCGTTATTGGTCGAGAGAAATTTAGGTCGAGTTTATTTCTTAATTTTAAAAATGACAGAAATAACTGTACAGAGAAAAAATTAAAAATAATATTTTTTCCTCTATTATATACTCGGATTTGTTTTTCTCTTTCTTGAGCGAGAATGATGTAATTCTCGTTATATGTATTCAGATTTTTCCTCGGTTACATTCATTGTTTCATGTGAGAATAAACATCATTATTTCAATCAAATTTTGTTGGAATTTTTGTAAAAAATTTTTTTGAGAAAAAAATATTAATTTGAAATTTTCTTTAAGTTTTTGAACGTTTAAATGACTTCATCCTGTTCTTTATTTTTTCTTATTAATTATGATTAAATAATCACTTTAAATATTTTTTTCGAAATTTTTACCGCATTATATTTTATTCTAAAAAATATTATTGCAAGTATATCGGACAAGTAAATAGAGTAAAAGTAAGCAAATAAAGTAAAATAAGTAAACTGCAAATATAAGGAAAATCAATTTGTTTATTCGGACGTTTTGAAATACTACCGAGGTGTTCGAATGCTGAAAACGAAAATTTATCACTGAGAGTAAAAAAACTTTTTATGACACGTCTTTCTTGTTCAAGTAATTTGTCCTTCCATGATTCACGGAGAAATTACATCATTCCCGATAAAAGTTCGCGAGTTTAAAGCAAAAAGAGAAGAAAAGGAATAAAAAAAAGAGCGAAGAAGAGAAAAAGAAACGTAACCGAAGTTCTTTGACGTCCATTTCTAAACCTGATCTGCAGTCGGTCGTTTAAATGTTATTGCAGGCAAAGATGATTATAATATTTGTGTGTGCATATACTAAGTAAAGAATCTTTCATTCGTGTATTTGTAAAAAAAAAAAAATAAAGAAACAAGGACGACTGCGTTACGAAACGGATGTGATAAATTTGTGATCTTACGAATTGATATAGCTTATGCGATTCTGATGTAGAAAATTCTTCTGATGGTGACTGTAAAACTAGATGTAAACTCTCTTTCTCTCTCTCTCTCTCTCTCTCTCTCTCTCTCTCTCTCTCTCTCTCTCTCTCTCTGTGTATTTTAACTCTGTGTGAGTGTTTATTTATTTTTTTTCTCTCTTTTCATTGTTAGAGAGCCTGGAACGATTGCCCATCCGACAAAACTAAGCAACGGAACTATTCCCAAAGGCATTGCAAAAAGTCAGGATTCCGAGGATCTCAAAGAACACGCAAAGGATCAAAAAGATCAAAAGGACGCTTCGGAAAAACAACAGAGCTGTCTTGACGAACCAAATCTTCTGGTTAGTGCCTTTTACTTTTTTTTCTTTTATACAGAATTTAATTAATGGATTTTCTTAATTTCCTACTCATAATGAGAAGTTGAATTTTAAAGTTTAGTTTTCAAAAAAAAGGGTAGCAATTAATTATAAATCGTACCATCTTTTACATAATTCAGGTACATTTACTGCTCCTCAGAAAGTTAATATCGAAGAAATTTTTATTTATTGAATTATATAACTAAATTTTTATTTGACTTTAAAAGTTATTACAGGGCACGGATTGTGCGACTTTTTCGACTTTTTTCTACTTTTCTAAGGAAATGTGACTTTTTTCGACTATTTTGTGAAAAAATGCGACTAATCGCCTTTTTTAAATTTTTCAATTACTTTTCGACTTAAATTGTAAATGGCAAAAATTTTTTTTTGTAAAAAATATTGTTCACAAAATTATTTTTCTCTTTGGGGGAAAAAAACACAACATATTATCCTGTTTCTTAATATTTTTGTAGGAAATTTTCAATTTTCATAAGGAAATAATTTGCATATTTTTTAATTACAATTGCTTTTATAAAATTTAAAGTTTTATAAAAATTAATGAAAACAAAAAGTTTATAAATTCTATTTGTCAATTAGAGATTGAAACTTTTAAAATTTTTAGAAAATTAAAGGAAAAAGTTTTAGTCAAAAAAATAATCTGTTACATTTATTTACAAATTTCTTTCAAATTTTTCGAAAACATCAATAATTTCTTTTTTAAATAAACATTTAATTATTATTTTTCCTTAGGAAATAAAATTCTTCAAAAGATTTAAATTCAAACATTTTTGAAATTAAACAACTTATAAAAAATTGTTATAAAACACGAAGAAATCGATCACTCCGAGTCTTCGACTCGAAGCAATCGATGTCTTCATGTTTTATAATAATTAAAGATGACCGAGTGATAAAATCATTATTTTATATTATAAGACTTTATAAAAAAAATTTTTTTTATTTTTTATGAAAATAATTGAATAATGAGAAGAAATTTATAAAAAATTAGTAAGTAATTGCATTTTGCAGAAGAATTTTGATATTTACAAAAATAATTGAAATTTTGAGGAGAATTAAAAAAAAATTTTGAAAATAATTGAATTTCTGCGAAGAATTTTCTTATTTTTGAAGATAATTGAATTATGCAAAGAATTTGATCAGAACTTTTAATAAAATAATTAAATTTCCAGGATGAATTTTATTATTTATGAAGATAAATAAAATTTTGACGGGAAATTAAAAAAAAATTTGAAAATTATAGAATTCCGAGTATGAATTTTTTTATTTATAAAAATAATTGAAATTTTGCCAAGAATTTTATAATTATTTTTACAAATAATTAAATTTCAGAGAAGAATTTTATTATTTATAAAGATAATTGTAATTTTGAACAGATTTTTTTAAAAATGTTTAAAAGTAATTGAATTTTGTAGAAGAATTTTGATATTTGTAAAGAAAATTGAAATTGTGAGGAGACTTTAAAAAAATTTTTTGAAAATAATTGAATTTCTGCAAAGAATTTTATTACTTTTGAAAATAATTAAATTTCTAAGGTGAATTTAATTATTTGTAAAAATAATTAAAATTTTGAACAGATTTTTTAAAAAATGTTAAAAATAATTGAATTTCTGCGAAGAATTTTATTAATTTTGAAAATAATTGAATTTCTAAGATGAATTTTATTATTTATAAAAATAATTAAAATTTTGAACAGATTTTTTAAGAAATGTTTAAAAGTAATTCAATTTTGCAGAAGAACTTTGATATTTACAAAGATAATTGAAATTGTGAGAAGAATTTAAAAAAAATTTTTGAAAATAATTGAATTTCTGCGAAGAATTTTCTTACTTTTGAAGATAATTTAATTTTGTAAAGAATTTTATCAGAAATTTTGGAAATAATTAAATTTCGATCATAAATTTTATTATTTATAAAATTTTGACGAGAAATTTAGAAAAATTGTAGAATATAATTGAATTTCTGCGAAGAATTTTATTACTTTTGAAAATAATTGAATTTCAGAGAAGAATTTTATTATTTATAAAAATAATTTACATTTTAAAGAGAATTTTAAAAAAAATGTTAAAAATACCTAATTAAAATGTTGCTATGAATTTTATTAAATTTTATTAAATTTTATTCCTGATTGTTTTATATTAAAATATGTGTTGTCGAGAAATGTGATTTCTTTTTACAATTTTGACAATTTCGTGTTTCCTTTTTGTCGTTTTTTCGAAAATTTCATGCAACTTTTTTTTGAAATTTTTTGCGACTTTTCGTGACTTTTGTTGTGAATTTATGCAACTAAAGCGACTTTTTTTGAGTCTTAAAGACGATCCGAGCCCTGGTTATATACACTAATAATTAAATTATTAGTGAATAATTATTTAACTAATTTTTCATTCGAGCGAATTTTATCTTATCGAATTTTCATCAAACTGTATTTTTAATCAACGGAATTAATTTTCTTAATCACATTTTTACTTAACGGAACATTCGCACTTATATTCTTATGTAATTATATTTTTATTTAATAGAATTTTTATTTTAAACGTTCAATTAATTCTTTCTCTGTTCTAAAGTAAGAATTAATTACTTAATGGAATTTTCATTTAGAAAAATTTTCAAAAAGGATTAAATTTCACTGAATTTATTTTATTTTCCACTGAATTTTACACACAACTCGTCTGTATTTGCCTTTGAATGTATTTTCATTCGGTGGAATTGTTAAAGTATTTTAAAATTTTATTGAATGGAAAATTTAATTTTTGTCCAAGTAACAAATGTTCTTTAGATAGATGGGGAACTTTTTTTCATTCAAGACAAATCTTTTATTGTTTTAATTTTTTTATACAATTTTTTTCAATATGAAAAGTAAAAAAAATTGTATAAAAAAAGTAAAGTACATACAAGACAAAAACAAAAACATTCGAGACAAACAAGAATTCATTTAAGATAAAGGGGCTTAAGGAAGAATCCGACAAACAATCGGAACAAAAGTTAATCCTATTCCATTACTTCGAATTTTAAATGAAGAAAAGAAAATTATACTTTACGTTTTTGTGGAGGTGTAAAGAATTTAATTTTTAATATTTGAGAAAATTTGAAGTTGCATTTGAATATAAATTACAATTTTCTGTCTCTGAGTAAAGATTTAGATAACATAATCAAAAATTTAACAAACATTTCCTATTATGACCAAAACTTGTAATTTTTATTCCCATATAACTTTTAATATTGTTTCAAATGTTGAAAATTCAATTCTTTACCTTTCTACCAAAAAATAGTAGAATGTTAAATTAAGTAATTAAAAAAATAAAATAAAAAAATTAAAATAAAAAATTTAATTTGATATTTAAAAACTTGGCTTAATGAAAATTTTATTAAAATGAGAATTCTGATCAAAAACGTTGCATGAAATACTAATTATTTTTTATGATAATTTTATTAAAACCTTGAAAAGCATTTCAATTAAAACTTTAAATGAAAATAAAATGTAAATTTCAATTTGCTGATGATTAAAATTGATTGGAATTTCAGTCAATCATAATTTCAATTAGTGGCAATTGTAAATATTTTCGCTTTCAATTAATACCTAGTAGTTTTGTAACCATAAACGATAAAAAAATGATAATTTCAACTGATAACTTAAACTGCTTGTAGTTATACACTTAATATGCTAATTCTAGTCAATGACAGTTTTAATTAAACATATTTTCAATTACTGTTAGTTTCCATGAAGGACATATACAAAAAAAGCATTTCAGATTGTACGAAACTTTTTGTACTCTTTAAATTATTATTTAACATAAAAGATTCATTTCGAATTAAAATTTACTCGAGTTTTTGTCATTTCGAATTAAAATTTGCTAAAAAATATTTATAATAGACGAATTATAATTTATTTAAAATTATTAATTGATTGAATTATGATTGATGGAAATAGGTTAAAAATTCAAGAATTTAACAAATAACTAAATTTTAATTATTTATGTAGCTATCGAAAAACTTCAACGAGAATTCAATTATTTAATTATACAAAAATAAATAATTTAATGAATAATTAAATAATTACTTCTTAAAATTAATTCTTATAAAGAGGTTTATAAAAATTTTTTTAAGTAACTGAATTGTTACGAAGAATTTAATTAAAAAATTTTGAAATTGGTAATTTTTATCAAGGAATTTATTTAAAATTGTAATAAAAATAATAAATTGATATCCTGCGAAGAGTTTTATTATTTATGAAAATAATTGAAATCCTACGATAAGTTTTATTATTTATAAAAATAATTGAATTTCTAAAATGAATTTTATTAAAATTTCAAAAAATAATTGAATTCCTGAGAAAATTTTTATTATTTATAAAAATAATTGTAATTCTTCTGAAGAATTTTATTAAAAAAATTTCAATTAAATATTGAATTCTTGCGAAAAATTTTATAAAAATCTTTTTAAATAATTGATTTTTTGCAAAAGAATTCCTACGAAAATTTTATTATTTATGAAAATAATTGAAATCCTATGACAAGTTTTATTATTTATAAAAATAATTGAATTTTTCCAATGAATTTTAATAAAATTTCTAAAAATAATAGAATTCCAGAAAAGATTTTTATTATTTAAAATTTTTTTAAATAATTGAATTCCTGTGAAAATTTTTATTATTTATAAAAATAATTAAAATTCTTCTGAAGAATTTTATTAAAAATTTTTCAATTAAATTAAAAATAATAATTTAAATTAAAAATTTTATAAAAATTATGTTTTAAATAATTCATTTTCTACGAAAATTATAGGTATTATTCATGAAATTAATTGGAATTCTGCTATGAGTTTTATTATTTATAAAAATAATTTGATTTCTTGCAACAAATTTTTGTCAAAATTTCAAAAAATAATTGAATTCTTGAGATTTTTATAAATAAATTGAATTCTTGCGAAAAATTTTATAAAAATCTTTTATATAATTGACTTTTTCGAAAATTTTATGAAAATTATGTTTTAAATAATTCAATTCCTACGAAAATTTTATTATTTATGAAAATAATTGAAATCCTACGATAAGTTTTATTATTTATAAAAATAATTGAATTCTTGCAATGAATTTTAAGAAAATTTTTAAAAATAATTGAATTCCTGTGGAAATTTTTATTATTTGTGAAAATATTTGTATTCATGTGAAGAATTTTATTAAAATTTTTTTAATTAAATTGAATTCTTGAGAAAAATTTTATAAAAATTATGTTTTAAATAAAATTCTTACGAAAATTTTATTATTCATGAAAATAATTGAAATCCTACGATAAGTTTTATTATTTATAAAAATAATTGAATTCTTGCATTATTGATAAAAATTCGTGGCAAAATTTTTATCAAAATTTCTAAAAATAATTAAATTCTTGAGAAGATTTTTATTATTTGTAAAAATATTTGAATTCATGTGAAGAATTTTATTAAAATTTTTAAAAATAATTGAATTCCTGAGAAAATTTTTAATATTTTTAAAAATTGAATTCTTGTGAAGAATTTTATTAAAATTTCTAAAAATAATTGAATTCCTGAGAAAAGTTTTATACAAATTCTTTTAAATAATTGAATTCCTGTGAAAATTTTATTATTTATAAAAATAATTGAATGTTTGGACTTTGGAAAGAATTTTATAAAAGTTTTTTTTTAAATAATTGAATTTTTTTGAAAAATATTTTATGAAAATAGTAGATTTTGAAAATAATTGAATGTCGATTCATTTTTAATAATAATTGAATCGCTTAAAAGAATTTTATTAAAATTTGTTTATTGAATCATTTCTAATTCGTTAGAATTGAAATTCAATTATTTTTGAGTTCTTCGTTTCTGAACTAATCAATTATTATAATTTAAGGAAATAGTAAATCGGGTGAATTCTGAATTGTAATTCGTCTTCATAAATGATAAAATAAAAATTAAAAAATAATATAAAGTTATAAAATAAAAATTCTAATTCGAAGGGACAAAAATCCGAGTAAATTAGAACTCGAAGTAAATTATTGTTTCTGTTAAATATTAATTCGAAGTGACGAAAATTATAATAAATTATAATTCGTAATTAAACTTTTTTGTTAAATATTAATTCGGAATAAGAAATTCCAGAAGACTGGTAATTATTTTTTAAATTATTAATTAAGTGAATTCTGTCAGAGAGGTTATATTTTAGGCAGGTTAGGTGGCGCAGGGGAAAAAAGGGATGCGCAGAAGCGAAGCGGCTGCGCGAGCCTTTTTTCCCCGGCGTCACTACTTTTTTCCCCTCTGACGTCACTTAGCTTGAAAACAAAGTTTTATTTAGTTTAAAATATATCTTTTCTCTTAATCTAATATTCTAATATTTTCAATTAAATTTATTCTCACAAATAGCTCAATAAAAAATTGCCTTTTCCAATAATAATTTAAATAATTTAAAAATAAAAAAAGGGGAAACTTTTTCATTATCCGATTTTTCCTTTCCTACAAAGTTGTTGTCATGAAAAGTTTTCTGTTTGGTATTTCATTATTGAGAAATAGCTTTGAACGCTGTGTTTTATATATGATTTTGCTAGATGGAATTTAATTAATAATACATCGATTATGGATTGAGAGTAAAATATTGAAATTTCTTTTTTTTTTCAGCAACCGGTGCAGAGTTCGCGAGTTGGTGAACGAAGAGCGAGTAGCCCTTTTCAAAATGGACGAACCGAGGTTTTGATTGGAGAACCCGAGGGTGGCCCGAGGTCACCTAGAGGATCCACATCTTCGGCTATCAATGACAGTAACTCCCTGACCACACCAGAAGAGAAGGATTATCCCGAACCAATTTGCAGGTCAGTGGATAGTCAATTAAATGCATAAGATTTCAGCAGGAAATCCGAATTGCTAAATTGATTTTATTTATTCAAAAAAAAAAAAAAAAGAAACGACTAATTGGAATTTTTTTGTTCGGGGAATTTGAAAATTCAAATAGAATTTTAGATTGCGAAAGTGGCGGCAATATTGATTTTGTCTAAAAGGAATGTACATTCTATGAATAAACAAATTTTGATTAATTGTATTAATTAATAAACAAGTGAAAATTGAGAATATACTAGAAGTTTAAATCGAAGAAGAAATTCCGAAAAAGTAAATTCTGATTTCCTGGAGAAATTCGCTAAATGCTTTTTTTTTCTTTTGAGAAAAATATATTTTTATTTAAGAATCAAACTTTCTTTGAAAATTCAAAGAATCGTATGTGAAATTGAGAAAAAATTTCATTAAAATGAAATGAAACATTGATTTTTCTAATGCGGTTAGAAAATACTCAAACCACAATTCGTAAATCTTTACCACCGATCCTAAAGATGAGGAGTTGGAAAAGTAACCGTAAGATGTCGCTAGGGATATAAAGTTGAAGAAAACAAGCGGCGGACTTAAATAACTCGTTCTCTATTGAATATAAGGTCTAGATTTCCAACACATGTTTCTTTCATTCCGGGCCATTGTTATTTATTCCAACAATTAAACTCCGAAGTTTGAATTTTTTATTTTTTTCTAACTTTAGTTTTTTTTTCACAACAATTTCTTTCTTATTTTTGTTAATTTTTTAAAAATTTTTTTTTAATTTTTCGTTTTTTAAGCGGTTTAATTTTTTATTAAAATTTTATTATTTTTAAATTTATTTAAACCTTCTCACATTAAAAAAAATTTTTTTGTTTATTTAAAGAAATTAGTTTGTTTCTGAAAATAAATTATTTTTTCAAAAACATAGTTTTTGATTAAAAAAAAATTTATTTCATTCAAAAAACTTTTTCTTGACTTAAAAGAAATTATTTTTATTGTAAGAAATTTTGTTCTTTAATCTTTAGAGAGCCTTTATTTTGATAAATCTTGTTATTGAATTGACTTCTTATTTAATTTTTTTTTTAATAAAAAACTTTACTTAAAACTAAACTAAAAAACTTTAACTAAAAACTTTTAAACTAAAAAACTAATAAATAAAAAAGTTCACTGCAGTGAAAAAATTTGATAAGATTTTTTAAAAATTTAAATTTCGAAAATTCTGGATCCATGTTTATTTTTTTTTCTCTCAATTGTAACTGGAGATTCCTTTTGAATATATGATATTTATTTTCATCTTTTAGCATCTAGGTACATAAAGATATTTGTCGAAATTTCTGCATAGGGGCTCATCCTTTATTCGTTTCCGGTCACTTATTTTCCATGGTTCTTCTCGTTGCAATATTTTGTTGCCTCGCCACAAAACTTGAAAAGCTTCTATTCTTTCTAAAGTAGAATGAAATTCAGGGAAAAGTATTTCAAGCTTAAACTTGCCAGAATCGAATCTCGAAAATGAAAAGTGAATTTAAAGCCCAAAGGGAAGATTATCCTTTTCAATAAAATTTCTTTAATATTGTCAGCGACTCAAAAACTTTGAAAAGTATCGGGAGAATGTTATATATTTGAAAATCTTTCAATAATATTTAAGTTAAAAATTTGAATTATATTTTTTATTAGGAAATAGTTGGGAATTATTTTATATTAAAAAATAATTTTATAGGTAAATAATAATGTATAAAATTGTTTTATTTTTATTTTGTATATTATTATACTTTTATATACTGTTATCGAATTCTTTATACAGTGAAAAAAATTTATTTGAATAAGAATGACCGAATACTTGTCTATTATCAAATAAATATTTTTGCTTGTATTGAATAATTTTTATTTTAGTCAATGGGAAAGTTAAAAAAATACGTAATCCTTTTTCATAAAAATTTTATACTCCCTTAATAACCTTAATAATTGAAATTCTTCTGAAATTAGTTAAATATTATAATATATATTTAATTACCTAATTATTAAAAATAATGTATTTATAGAAAAATTTTAGTTAAAAACAATAAAAAATTTATTTTTGGAGAAGTTACAAATAATTGCAGTAATTCAATTATTTTCAAAAGTAATAAAATTCTTCGCAAAAATTCAATTATAATAAATTTTTTTTTAATTTTCGTTAAAATTTCCATTTTTTTAATAAATCATCAAATTCTTTTCCAAAATTCAAATATTTTCCAAAAATTTAATAAAATTCTTGGAAGAATTTCAATTATTCTCAAAAAATTTTCCTTAAGCAATGATTTACAATATCTGCTATTTTCATGAAATTTTCCAAAATAATTTAATAATTTAAAAAAATTTATTTATAAAATTCTACACAAATATTAAATTATTTTCATAAAATAGAAATAAAAGTTTCTCATGAATTAAATTTTTTAAAAATTTTTTATAATATTCTTTGCAATCATTCAAATATTTTCATAAATAATAAAATTTTCACAAGAATTCAATTATTTTAAATACAATTTTCTCAAAAAAAAAAAAAAAAAAAATAGTCCGAAAAAGATTGCCAATTTTTCTTATAATTATTAATTTTCATAAAATTTTTCCAAAAGAATCAATTACTTAAAAAATTTTTGTAAAATTCTTTACAAGAATTCAATTATTTTTATAAATAATAAAATTCATCGCAGAATTTAAAAAAAAATTTTTAATATTCTTTGCAAATATTCAATTATTTTCATAAATAATAAAATTTCCACAGGAATTGAATTATTTAAAATACAATATTCATTAAATTTTTCTAAAAAAAACTCAGTTATTTAAAAAGATTTTAATAAAATTTTTCACAATAATTCAATTATTTTCGTAAATAATAAAATTTTTTTTAGGAATTCAATTATTTTCATAAATAATAAAACTCATTGCAGAATTTTAATTATTTTTAATACAATTTTAATCAAACTCATCGGAAAATGAAATTATTTTTAAAAAATTTATTAATATTCGTGGAAAGTATTCAATTATTTAAAAATTTGTTGATAATTTTCTCTATGAGAATTCAATTTTAAGAAACATTTAATTATTCAATAAATTATTTATTTTTATATTTAAATAATTGAATTCTCGTAGAATTTTCTCAATAAAAATTGATTTAAAAATAAATTTCAGTAAAAATTTTAGATAATTGAATATTTGGTAAAATTGAATTGTAAAAAAATGGGTTTAAAAATTTCTTTTCAAAGAAGATTTTTTTTTTTTAAATCATTACAAAATAATTGATTTAAAGAAAAATTTCAGTTCAAAATTCTGAAAAATAATAATTGAATTGAAGTGATGAAAGTAATCTAATTATTTTTAGAATGAATCAGAATGTTCTTTAGGGGTAAAAAGTCAAAATTTTATCTGTAAATCAGGGAAAAGTCAGGGAAAAACAAAATTAAAATTTTTGTTGCAACCCTGCTTTTGAAAATACCCCAAAAAGTCGTTTTTGGGTGTCTTGCCCCCACTTTTTTCAAAATCCTGACGCGCTAAGCAATTTTAGATCTTGGAATCGGATTCAGCAGACAAAAATACATAGCAAAAGACTACCATGTCAAAAAGAAGGAAAAAATTTCCTTTTTGGAATTTTACCCCCACTTTTCTCAAAATTCTCTATTTTTTTGGTCTTGCGCAAATGGATTTAAGAAAAGCGTTCTAAACTTTATTTTGACTTCATGAATGTCTCTGCCACGAAAATTAAAGGGGAAAAATATTCTAAAAACCCTCAGAAACCCGTTTTTTTTAGGAACAAATGCCTGCAAAATCCTACTTTTTTTATTTTTAATATCGAAGTGGTTTCGAATGTATTTTTTACCCCCCACTTATAGGGACGAAAAATACGTTGGAAACCACTTCAATATAAAAAATTAAAAAAAGTCGAATTTTGAAGGCATTTGTTATTGGTTCGAATACAATTTGATTTTAGTAAAAGTTATTTAATTGCAGTAAATATTTATTTGATATAGTAAACAATTAATCTGTTAGTTGAATAAAGTTAATATTTTAATAGTTCAAGAGAAAGAGAAAGCAGTTTATTCTTCAAAAAATAATTTTAATCAGATTTGAGAATTTTGCTTCTTTCAGAAAAAAACTCCCCTGCAATTCAAGGAGAATTCTCATTTTAACCAATATCAGAAAGAAAAACCTTTTTTAGATCGTTTAAATTGCTTTTTCGAGCGTAAAAACGTTTTCTTCAATGATTCTTTTTTTTTTTGTTTTGTTTGAGAACTTGAAATCGAAGAAGGAAAATTTTCAGAAATACTCTAGTTGTTAAAAATCCCTCTTATATATATATTCGGAATATAGGGAAACTACTGTCTCCTCTTCGAGTGGCGCACTTTTTTTTACATGATTAGACATTCCCCATTCTCTTGCCAAAGAGTCTAGTGAATTCCAGCGAAAACGGAGTGCCGTCGACCCTTCACTTCACTGCCACTTTGCCAGTATTTCACACAAGAGGCACACCCACGGGAACACACGTGTCACGTGTGAGTGTAGCCTAAACAATGCGTTTCCCAGTCTTTTTAATCTCATTGCATCGAGACGGGAAGTTCTTCTCTTTTCTTCTTCATTTCTTGTTCGCCTCTTCTTCCTTCTCACTTTGTCAGGTTGAGAGATAGCAAAAAAAAAGAAAAGAAAATGAGAAAAAGAAAAAAGAATGAAAAGGTGAAGAAGAAACCAAGGAGAGAAAGAAAGAGGTGGAATGATAAGGAAAAGGAGATGAAATGTGATTAAAGAGTGGGGATGAGAGAGCGAGAGAGAGAGTGGGAGAGGGATTGTTGGTGAACGGTGTGTGAGAGAAGGGGGTAAGGAGAGGAAAGGTGTATATGATAAAGAAAAGAAGTGAGAGGGAGAAAAGTCGAGGGTTTGGCATGCGCATACCTTCCTTAATCTCGTGACAAGCGAGGTATATGTTTAAAAATAATTCTCATGCATAACTGCTCGAGACTCTCCCGACACGCTTCTTTGC